TTGCATTTCACATTCTTTCTGCTGTCGCACAACCTAAAGAGAGGAAATGTCGTACTTCTCGGGAATGGGACATCGTTCCGTTCCTCAGAAAGTTCATATTTGTATCATCTTGATCGATATGTATAACTACTTTCTGCTTCTAAGATTTTGAAAAGTTCACTTGAAGAAATCTTTTGGGATAACGCTAATCTAAAAAAAAGGCGAGGTCCTATCGACATTAAACATGTCTCCTTGACATCAATGATTTGGTTTGTGTTTTCACTTGCTAATATTCTACTAGGTACTTTCTTCACAACAAACTTCTGGTCTGAATTATCCTGAAAGGAGATTAGCTATGATGGAATCACATAATAAAATCTGCAGTCTAGCAAGATGGAGCGGGAAAACTCTCGTTCATCCTACTTTTATACAATAAACATGTTCCAGATATCATGATAAATAAATAAGTAAGGAGATATGTGACGTCGTGATGAAACATACCCCTAGACACGCATGATTAATACCAACCAGCAACGTATTATTGAAATCCTAAAACTCACAAGGAGAATATCTCTAACTGCAAATGATGTCACGTATAAAATAATGTTTATTCCATAAATAATTTTATTCTTATGGAACTTGATCAATGGAAGCGTATTTTCTGACTTAATAACAGATAAATCATCATGAGATAGCGCGTTTCTATTAAGGAATCCAACATAATATTAAACATGAGGCTTGTTAAGTTATATATGAAGTGAATGATATTAAATGACAAGTGAATTTTTTTATTGGATAATTATGACAATTTTCTCAATGTCGAGTTACATAATAAGCAGGTGGTAGTTGTACTTTCAAACATAATTTGTTATTTCAAGATTTTAGAAAACCTTTGATATTGTTCAAGTTGATCAATAGAAACCGAACATTTAATTTGCTCGATTGCTTCTAACACATCGTCGTGACAAATATTTTTCTATCACATTTAAAACAAGAATAATCAGTAAATGATGAGATTATTTTAATAATGTGTTGCGTGTATGGATTGATTGGACGACGTAACGCATACCTCTGTTATTGATTTATTATGACGATACCTTTTAAATGCTAAAAAAGCAGCCTTTTGTATTAACGCTTCTAAATCAGCTCCAGTATAATGTTCAGTTTTTAGAGCAATTTCTTCAAGATTCATATCTTGAGCAAAATTCATTCTGTTCCCTATTACTTTAAGGATAGACACTCTTTCTTCAGGAGTTGGAGGTTTAATATAAACATGTTTATCAAGGCGACCTGAAAAATAAAAAAAGTTAGGAATTGTCAATTAGGATGAACTATATTATTAATTTACCTGGTCTTAAAAGAGAAGCATCGATAACTTCTGGATTATTAGTTGCAGCAAGGATCACAACTCCTTGATCTACAGCATTCAATCCATCTAATTCTAGTAAAAGTTGCGAAACTAACTAAAGATAAAGAAAGAAAGGTTTTATTCAATATACTACTATAACGTTTACAAAAATTAACAAAAAATAAGTATTTATTATTATTTACCTTTTTGCCCAAAAAACCACTTGAATCCCTATTACCGAATATAGCCTCCAATTCATCCAAAAAAATGATACAAGGACTACACTGGATCGCGATTCGAAAAATATTTGCGATGGCCTTTTCTGATTCGCCTACCTAAATTTTAAAAAGGTTAGCGTGATTTTTCAAGTTGAAAGTTCAAAAAAAAAAAAAGTTATATTACCTCACTCTTGATTAATTCTGGTATCGATACTGGCATGAAATGAGCTGATGATTCCGTCGCAACTGCTTTTGCCAATAAAGTCTTTCCGGTTCCTGGTGGTCCATATCTATTTAAACAATTATTAGGTGTTGATAATAACACGCATTATGATTGATAACTTGAACTTGTTTATCTTACAAAAGAACGCCTTTTGTCGCTTTAATTCCGAGACGTTGAAATGCATCAGCATGTTTATATATCCATATAACAGATTCCTCCAGCATTTTCTTCATGAAGATGAACCATACAAACAGTCGATAAATTAATTAAGTTAAAATCTCATTAAAGAAAATCTTTTAAAATATGATGATTACTTTAACATCATCTAAACCACCAATATCACTCCATTTAACAGATTCCACTTTCTCTACACTGGCTTTCTCTTGTAAACTGCTTATTCTAATCTTTTGAAAACCTTTTTGAAAATCTTCATTTGAAATCAACAAGTTTCCGGGTTCGGCTATACATATTAAAATTTAAATCACACAAGTATTAAAATTATGAATCAAGATGTAATATTTTGAATAAAAGGCAAGAAACCTGTTTGTTGAATGCTTCTGACATCACACTGTTCTAAAGCCATTCTACATAACGCTGCAACATCAGCTGCTATATATCCATGACATCGATCATTGATTTCTTTTAAATTTACATCGTTCTCAAGATTTAAGTCCACGACACAATATTTTAAAATTTCTAATCTTTGAATAGGTTTTGGAATATTAAATTCAATTTCATCCTAAGACACAAATTAATGAAAATTAGGCATATGATTCTCAAGAATGAATATTTGTTTTTTTTTTAAAAGACTGATTTACTTGAAATATTGTTCGGATAATAGGATTGATCCGTGAATGGTTCGTCGAAGTTCCAACCTAAAAACAATATCTTAATTCGGTTTGTGTAGCATGTAATGATATTATTACTGATAAAAGAAACTTACAATAAGAATATGATGTTCATTGTTAATCCACGTATGAAATAATTCACGAAAATAAAACGAAAGCAAAGGTTGACTATCCAATGGAAAAATTAATTCTATATTTTCTAATAAAACTTGCAAAAATAAATAAATGAATAAAAGAAAATAAAAATAAAATTTAGTAAAATTAATTCATTCAAATTGCAAAAGAATTTTAAAATTGATGCGATGCATACATCGTACACATACATACGCTTGGTTGATTTTTATAAGCAAGGTTAAAATAATGCCTTAATCCTTTTTCTGGTTCAGCAGGAAATTCAGCGGCCAAATCACCAATTGTAAGTGTAAATAACTAAAAAAAATAATTAATTAATTAAACATGTAAGATCCATATATCGGTCTTTAAATGCTGACGTTAAAATATTATCAAAATCATAAACGCCCAATAGAAATCTCGTTACATGCTGAACAATGGCATTTCTTTATATATATATAGCATTTAATTTACCTTTGCTTTATATTTTGAACTTAAACTTTGAACGGCAAACGATTTCCCTACAAAAAGTTGATCGATTATATATACAATTCACGAAACGATTAAAAAATCGATCTATAATTAACCTGTTCCAGAAGGGCCATATAATAGAATTGAATTGGTAACATCTATATTTAAATCTGTACAAATTTTTCTCTTCTGAAAAGAGATTGAAAATGATTGATCGACTCTATAGGGGAAATAGGTCATGATTGTGAAATTTTTTTTTTTTTACCGTGAAGATTTGATTTTTAAAGTCTTGATGTAACACCATGATAAATCACGTTATCTTTTTTAAAAGGTAAATATCTATTTTCAGAATGTTCGAGAAACAAGGCGGTTGCAATTGTATAATCGACGTCGGTGTTGTGACTGAAATTGATTTTCGTCTGAAGTTGGAATTCAGACGATCTTTGAGTGTCTGAAATTGAGATTCAAAGATCAGTTAAATGAAATTGGGAATTCCAATTTTCAGATACCCTTTTTATTATCTGAATTCCAATTTCAGTCATGATCTTATTGGTCAATTTCCGTGTAACTATTTTAATTTCAGTTAAATTCTAATTTCAGATACGAGACCATCTGAAATTGGGATATCTGAAATTGAGCTTCAGATAGTTTCTGAATTTCAGACACGAGCGCCGTCTGAAATTAGGATATCTGAAATTAAACTTCAGATAGAATCTGAATTTCAGATACAAGGCAGTCTGAAATAAATTCAATTTCAGATAGAATCTGAATTTCATATACGAGGCCGTCTGAAATTGAGTTTTTATCTGAAGTTCAATTTCAGGATTTCAGATAACAAGATCATCTGAAATTAAAGATATCTGAAATTGAAATTCAGGTAAAATCTGAATTTTATACAAATGGTGTATTTATAAATTAAAATTAAAGTAATCTATTATCTGTACATAAGCAATTTATTTTATTTAATAAAATTTTTATAATTTTCAAATGTTTCTTTTATTTATTTTTTTTTATTACTCTATTATAATAAAAAAAATTAACTCTATAATTAAAATTTGAAAATATTTATAAAAAGTTTAAGTTAAAATTCGTCTTCAGCTTCAAAATCGAATAATTATACAGGTAACTCGTAAAGATAGGAGTTCCTTTTCTATTTGCTTTCTGCTATTTTAAAGGAAAGTGAATGTATTTAACATGTTCTTCTAACTGAATGATTATTTTTTGCTTTTTCAGGTTTGATCACTTCGGTCTAAAGTTTTAAAAAAAAAAAACCTAAAAAAATAGATGAATACGAAAATGCACTTATTTATCTGATACAGCACCAGAATAAACTTAAAAAAAAAAGAATACTTATTTGCCAAAAAAACTGAATAAAAATAAAATCGAAATTAAAAAACATTAAAAAAAAATAAATAATAAAAATAAAAAATGAAAGAGAAATTAAAAAAAAAAAAAATCGAAAATAAAAAAAATAAAAACAACATAAAAAAAAATAATAAATATAAAAATAAAAATATTGGAAATTAATGCTATAAAATTTAATAAATAAATGCCGCGAAATTAATAAAAAATTTTAAAGTTACGAAATTGCAAAAAAAGAAAAAATTGGCATATTGTGATTTGGTTAAAATAATTTTTTATAAGTTGTCTGAAATTGGAATTCAGTTAACTGAACTTGGAATCTCAATTTCAGACACCCGAAGATCGTCTGAATTCCAACTTTCAGACGAAGAATTTCCCGATTATTAAAAAATGGGAGAGGTCAAATAAAATCAAAAAGATAACAACACAACTCTATAATTAGTATTATTTCTATACATTGTTTTGAATTGTAACAAAGAAACACACAAACAAAGGAAATGGCCTAAAACTTAAATGATGCTCAGATTGGAAAATTCTATATCTTTTGAGAATAGGGGGTAAAACGAAATTTTTTTTTTTTTTGATTGATTCAACAATGAAATTAATTGGTCATAATTGGTCATAATCTCGATATTTTAATAAGATTCAACATAAAATTTTGGAATAGACACACGACATATTATGGGCGATAAAAAAAAGAAGGAAACCCCACTATATTACATCATTAGATTCGAATTTCTTTTCTCGACTTCGAAAACACAGTTCTAATTATATAAAATTGTAAAATGTCACCCATTTCACTACATATTTCTTATGGTAACACCTTCCTTTTCTTTTTTTAAAACAAAGGGCGTTAAAAAGATCTACAGACTATAACGAGTATAGTAACATTCAATCATAATGCAATTTGTCTCTCAATTCATACAAGTGTTTCCATTCTCCTGTTTACTTGTATTCCCTAATCGTAAAATTCTAGGTAAAAAAAAATGGTATTTAAATGACAAAAAAAAATAAAAAAAAAAAAAAAAATTTTTTTTAAAAGAAAAATTATAACTAATCACGAACAGAAAATGAAAATGAAGAATAATAATTATAAACCATCAATTCTCACCATTATCTTTATTCTTATAATATTCACCACATATTCAGTTATAACGTATCCGATACCAGCGGAAAACGTCAATGGATCAATATCACCAAGTGTCGAATACCCTGATCCTTCATTACCCGTCTTAACGAAATTTGAATTCGAATCGCTCCCGGAACCTGGAGAATTTTGGGAAATGATTCGTACGGATGATAATACCGACCAAAATGTAAATAAAGAAAATTTTGGGACCAAGGCTTATTTCACTCCTGTTTGGTTTAAAGATGCTTTTTATAAATTCGGTCCTCACATAACTTATTATAAGAGGGATGAAATTGCTCAAACGTATAAAGATAAAGATTGGTATTCTAATTGTTATTTAAAGACATGCATGAACGTAGTATTTCGACAATATTAAGACTTTAGGTCAATGTTGGACATTTTGATTAAATGATTTAATTTATTCAAAAAAAATGTAATATAACGATAATCTTAAAATTCTGTAAATTCAATAAAAGATACTTTATATTTTTGTACTTTAGTAAATAAATACGTTCTTTCTCACTGAAATCGACCATTAAAAGTTCTTATGGATTTAATTGGTCCCACGTATAAACATAAAAAAAAAAAAAGAAAAATCGTTTCGAAATTTTAAATAAATAGCTACAATCAGAAAGTTAAATTTAGAATAATAGGGTAAGTCAACGACATAAGAGGTAGACAATATTAAAGTACTCCTTGAACTTTAATAATTATTTATTTTACTGTGTAAGGCACACTACATAAAAGAAACCTTATAATATATGTAAATGAAAATCTTATCTTTTATGGAATTTGCAAATATATTTTTTTTTTTCATCAATCGTTATGTTTAAAAAATATTTATCATAACTTTTATAGTTCCTGTATTCATATCTGCCGGAAAGATTAAGCGAATACTATATGGCATATATTCCTTTTACTTTTTGAGCAATATTTGATAATAATGAACCTTTTACATAACCGTTTTAATTAAAGAATAAGCGCAAATGATATTAATTAAAAAAAAATAAAATCTAGGAACAAATTCATAGAAATTTAATTTATACTTATTGGATTATACATTGCAAAGTTTGCCCATAAATCCTTTTCATGTGCACTAAATACCCTTTCGGTTATATAATATCGTGACTTGCTCTACGAGATGCATAGTAAGAGCGGTAAGTTTTCATTTATCAATAACAACATCTTAATGTTTTATCATATGGCGAGGATCCATACTATAAGCCCCTCTCTGAATTGCTTTTATACTGTATCTGGAAGAAAGGTAATAATTCGGAATTGAAGGACGTTACTGGGCAAATAATTTGCATTAGAAGAAGAAAGTACCGAATATAAATTTATGAGTTAATGCGAATTCTGGATATGTCTTTAATATCAAATTTAGCATACAAAGTATTCTCAATCGTTTATTTATCCAAAAGTAAAAGCAACTTTAGCAGCTCAAATACTTATGATAAGAAAGTTTAACGAGCACATTTGATAAAATTCTAGAGTAATAGTTTATAGAATATCTTTTCTTTAAATATACTTGGAGAATTTAGAGAGAATTTGCATGGATATAATAATTTCTCCCTTTAATAAAGTTTTAGCGCAGCAATTTATTCTCAAATTTATGTTTGAATTTGACCGTACATTTTTTAAACTTTTATATATTTTATGTTTAAAGTATTTTTTTTTTTTTCTTGTGATTACAATTCAGAATTTCTGTAGATTAAAAATCTTAAAATTTTATTTTTTAGCAACATATAAATACGATAAATAAATATTTTTACGGCAAAAAAAAAAAAAAAATAGATGAAAAATCAGTAAGACAATTTCTTAACGAAAAGCTTCTGAATTACAATTGGACGTGAAAACCTTTGATCTAACTTTGGAATTAGCAAACAGCGCTTTTTGAAAATTTTTAAAATACCTCATGAATTTTTCCAGCTATCTGTCTCGTGACTCAAATTTCAAAAAATTGACATGAAATGAAATAATAGCGATAGTAAACTGTTAATATATTTCGCGTTAAATTTTAATGTAACAGTAACAATGGAGAATTAGATAACTAATTATCTTTAATTTTCTCGATATCCTGGTATGCGTTTTATTTGTGCTTCCCTCATACCCTCTTCATCTATTAAATTTCTGATTCCAGGTTTATCTTTTTGCAGTGGTACAAAATCCCTGGCAAATTCCAACAACGTGTTAGCGAAATTCTTCCAATAAACCCAAGGCCAAGAATCAATTTCAACTAGTTGAGGATCATTGCTTCGAAAATAGATTACGATATTATCTATACTATGTTGCCTCTTTAACCAATTGATATCCTGCCAGAGCCTCCAGCTAATTTCGTACCAACTGCACTTAAACCAGCTTTACGTGCAACGCCTTTTATGATTAAGCTTTTTCCAAGGGTAAACATTCCCAAACTGCCAAAGGTGAGTGCTCGAGAAGTAGTATGTAAAATACAATTCACGCCGTGTAATAAAGAAAAAGAACTATCCGTATGTGGCAATTTGATTCTATAAGTTTTACCAGGGTGATGATTTAACGTATTAATGATATTAGGAGCGCACAAAAAGTTAATTATATTACGTGGTTTATTTTGATATTGTGCAAGTTGATCCAATATTTCCAATGCACCGAGACTTTCGAAGGTAATGCATTTTACACCAATCTTCACCGCGCAAAGTTCAGCGATAACCCCGCCAAGGGAGTGTCCGACAATTTTAAAGGCAAAATTAGGGAAATGTTGCTGTTTAAACGTGTTAAGAGTATTGCCTAATTTTTCTATCGATTCGCGACACTTTTGACTTTCTAATCTTTCGATTAATTTACGATGTGTATCCTCTTTTAATTTCATTAAAGCAGAAGTACTCAAACCAATTATTGCACCGCTTGCGATGATTTTTAATACTATAGAAGCATCAGCCAATGCGGATGTGGCATATAACCCGTACTGATCGCCGCAATATAAATCAATACTAAAACCCAATTTTTCATAGATGTGCCAACTTCTTGGTCAAATTCCCTTAGCCTTTGACCTAATTGTTGCAATTCCTCAGCACTTGCATTTAAATTAAAGTGATGAATGTATCTTGCTATATATTCTACTTGAGGTGTGTCAGGAACTACTACAGGTTTGTTCGTCAATGCTGCTACAAAAAGGCCGGTATCTGACAAAATATTAAATATTTCATCTGTTCCACGAATACCCAATACGACTTCTTTTTTAACAGTATTAACATACAAAGCATAAAAGGTATCCCATGAACCTCG